AGAGAGAGAGAGAGAGAGAGAGAGAGAGAGAGAGAATGTGTGTGTTGGCCTTTCAATGGCACTTCTTGTGGTACTTTGTGTCCTCCGACCCCCCCCACCCTCCCGTCTGCTCGGCTCCTGTGACAAACAAGCCGAACTTTGAAGCACATCAGAAGCTGCTACAGTGGCGACAAGTCCACTCCCCGAGCTCTCAGTGCAGGTCTGAGTGAAGGAAAAAGAATAAAGCACAGGAAACTTAGCAGCTGTTTCTGCCCCGCCCCCTCCCACCGCTACACCTCCCTCTGTCCTCTCCCCCCGATCTCACAGGCCCCTCTGTGCCTTTCAGTTCGTTGAAGGAGCACACTCCCCTCACAAACCACTGACGGTCTCTGTTTACATCCCAGTTTGCACAAAACAAACCACGTGGAAGGAGCAGAAGGAAAAAGACGAGCTCCATCATTGCCCCTCATCCATCAGCAGGAACTGGAACAATGTTCCTGCGACACAATCAGCACCAAGAAAGCACTGACGCTCAACACTAAACTTGGCTCCTGAACTGAAAGCTGACCAAAAAAAATTWAAAAAAAGGAGAAAAACTGCCTTATCAGAGCCTCCGGGGGCGGGGAAGACGTCTGTAACACCTATGCACACCCCTGGTTTCTGCCAGGCAGAGCGCCACGACACCTTTCTTCTTGTCCCGACAGCGAGCCATGTTGAACAAAAAACTGAGTTCTGTGGAAGAGGCAGGGCTTCGTGTCGGTGGGCTCCAACCAACCCCGCAGCCTCCGATTCAGAACTGATTAACTGTTGTCTTCAAAATTATAAAAAGTATTCTTGTTTCCGGGCGAGAAAATAATGTTGTGTGTAAATGTTTTAATGGTGCGTACGTCATACGAGTGAATTACAAAAGAGCCAGTGTATATTAACCCCTAAAAGAAGCTCAGTACGTGACATAACTTTCTCACGCTTTACTGAAAGTGGCTAAACTCTCAGCCGCCTGCAGCCAGCTGAAGAAAATAAAAGTCAGAAGAAATGATGTGGTGCGGCAGCTGTTTCTACCACTTTGAGTAAAGTGTTTTATTTTGTTGTCCTGTGTAAATGACCTCTGCAAAGACAAAAAAAAAGCAACTCTTCAGAAAAAAAGTTTTTTTTTGTTATTTCATTTTTAAAGAAAATATATTTCCTTTTATGTGTTTAAAGTAAAAATGCATCGTCTTCCTTCTTTCAGTGCAAAGTCATCTGTGTGTCTGATGTGTGTTGCATCTATTCTGCAGGCTTTTAATTTGAAATCATGCAGAACCTCAGAGCTTTTACGGTTAATGCTAACCCACACTTGGGATTGACTAGAGGGTTTTGGACTGCTCAGTGCAGGAGGGGTGGAGTTCGGTGACCTCACTACTTTGAAGTTGCCAGTTTGCTGAGCTCTATCTGTCTGGTTTCAGTATCAAACATCATTATGTTCCTAATCCCAGGTAAACCGCTTTATTAGCACCTCCCCAGTTTGAACACCAAAGAAAAGTGAAACAAAACACAAATTTTCTAACTGAACTGACAAAAGGAACCAGAGAAAACTGGTGTTCAAACAAAAAAAGGCCTCTTGTCTTTCCTCCTGCTCAATACGTTTAATGGCTTCAAAATGCCGATTTTCTCTGAACTAACTCAAACTCATTCAAGATTATCTGATGGTTTATGGCAAATATGTTCTAAAATATAGCCTACAATGGTGCCAACTTCTCATTAAAAAATAGCTTATTGGTTAAAAGTCACTAGAAAACATCTAATTTGCATATTTGGTCATTTCAATGTAATTGTTATCTAGACCAGTGGTTCCCAAACTTTTTATCCTCAGACCCACAAAATATCCATGGCAAAAACTTGTGACCCCAAATATTACTGGTC